AAAAAAACCCCTAAAACCAAAGCTAAAAACAATAATAAACAAAAAAAAAATTCAATAAACAAAAAAAATTATAGATATAAATCTCAAGTTTAAATTTCATCTCCCCTTTAATAATAATAATAATAATTTTTTGAGAGATTTATAAAATCTCAAATAAACTAAAAGTTCTATATTAACTAGAAAACAAAATAAAAAATAAAAATAAAAAATAAAAACATAAAATATAAAAATAACAAGAAAAATTACAAAAATAATTGAAATCAAGACATGATATGAGATTTGAAAAATATAAAAATCCAATGATTGAAGGAATGATTTTAAAATATAAGAAAAATAATGTTTGATAACTTATCAAATTAAATAAAAGATTATAATTTGACATAATCAAATATCTTTTTCAATCTAAATTTATTTTAGTAGTTCATAAATATTAAGTAATAAGCTAAAAGATGTAAGAAATTCATTGTTTATCCACACCTAATATATTGTGGATTATAATAGTAATCCATGATGTATTTTTTTTTTATTTTTATAATTTTTATAATTATTTTTTTACTTTTTTTAAAAAATTGTTTTTGTTTATTTTTTTGATATTGATGTAATTAAAAATTATAATTTATTATTTTTATTATTTTTTATTTTTTTACAATGTTAAAATGGTTTGTCCATTTGCTAAAGTATTCCAATTTGTTCCATTTTATAAATTTGATGGGATTGTTTTTTAATTGAACCTGATTTTGTTATTATTTTTTCAATATAGCTAAAGACACTGATTTCAAGGGAAAAAAAAACCATAATACATAAAGTTAAAATATATGGGGAAAGTATTGTAACTTTTCTTATGTGTTACTGTGAATTGTTACAGTGTTTTTTTTTTCTAAAATTATATTTGTTAATTTTACTTTTTTAATATTTAGTTGGTTAAAAATTTAGTTTTATAATTTTTTTTCCTTTAAAATATTATAGATTGCTATAGTATTTTCTCACATAATTTTTCTATTTTACTATATATAAAGCTAAAACATACAGGGAAAATATTATAACTTTCCTTACATGATATTGTGGATTGTTACTGTGTTTTTTTCTTTCCCTGTAGTACTTTCCCTTTTTTTTTTTGTTTTTTTTCTTAAAATTATCATCTTTTTTTTTAATATTGAGCTAGTTAAAAATTCAGCTTTGTAATATTTTTCTTTTAACATATTGTGGATTGCTATGATGTTTTTTTACATGATTTTTCTATTTTTTTTTTCAAAATTATATTTGTTGATTTTTTAAAAATATTTAGTTGATTGAGAATTTAGTTTCGTAATTTTTTCTTTAAAACATTTTTGATTGTTATTGTGTTTCTCCACATGATTTTTTTTTTAATTTTTTTAATTATATTTGTTGATTTTATTTTTTAATATTAAGTTGGTTAAGAATTACAGTTACAAGATGTGGGGAAAACACTGTAGCTTTCCTGACAAATTACTATGGATTGCAACAGTGTTTTCCCCACATGATTTTTTTCTGAAATTGTTTTTGTAAATTTTATTTTTTAAATATTGAGTTGCTTTATAACTACAAATAAAGACAAGTAAGATTAAATTATACGGGGAAAACGCTATAACTTTCCTCACAAAACACTATGGATTGCTAAAAATTTTCCTCATATGATTTTTTTTTCAGTTTCTTTTGTATTTTTTTGTAACATTTTGTTTCAAAATTATTTTTGTTGATTTTATTTTTTAATATTGAATTGGTTAGAATTTAAATTTGTAATAAGTTTAATCATGTGGAAAAGACATTATAACTTTCCTCACAAAATACTGTGGACTACTACAATGTCTCTCAATGTAATTTATTTTTCTTATGATTTTTTTTAAAATTATTTTTTTTTAATTTTATTTTTTAATATTGAGCTGGTTGCAAATTAAAATTATAAGTAATTACAAATAAGATTAAATTATGTAGAGAAATACTATAGCTTTCATCACAAAACACTGTAAACTGTTATAATGTTCTCAAAATGGTTTCCCCTCCTTTTTTTGTTATATATATTTTTAAATTATTTTGTCGATTTTATTTTTTTAATAATGAGTTGTTTGAGAATTTAACTTTATAATTTTTTTAAAACATTGTGAATTGTTATAGTGTTTTTCCACATGATTTTTTTAATGATTTTTTTAAATTATCTTTGTCAATTTTATTTTTTTAAATATTGAGTTAGTTAAGAATTACCGAATAAAGCTAAATCATATGGGGAAAGTGTTGTAGTTTTCTTCATAAAATATTGTGGATTGTTACAGTATTTCTCAAAATGTTTTTTTTAATAATTTTTTTATAAAATTATCTTCGTCAATTTTATTGGAGAAAACATTATAGTTTTTCTTCCAAAACATTATCAATTACTACAATATTTTTTTTATAGATTTTTTTAAAAAATTATTTTTGTCAATTTTTTTAATGTTAAGTAGATAGAGCATTTTATTTGGTAATTTTTTTTTTATTAATAAAAAAGTTAAATCATACGATAAAAATATTATATATTTTTTTATAAAAAATTATGAATTGTTAAAAGTTATTTTATACGGTCTCTAAATTTTTTATCACTAATTTATTTTTTTCATTATAAAATATTGACTTAATTATATATTTAGTTTTTATTATTTAACTAGCATTTTTTATAATTATAATATTATTAAATATATTTATTTTATAAGCTGCGACAACGGTCATGCCATCTCATATTTACCTTCTTATCTAGTTATAATAAACTCTCGTGCTTAAAATCACCCTTTATCACGTCCTAACAACATCACCCTGTTACAGAAAGCGCACTCAAACCCCCCCCCCCCCCCCACCCTTAA